CAATTCTAGCCAGGCAGTGTGTACATGAGATGCCCTCAGGCGTCACGCACTTTCTCTCGGACGCTTTTCCGGTAGATGCAGAGTAGCGAAAGGGTTAATCCTCCCACGCGCGCAGTCTCTATGCACACGTCGCAGTAGAGATATACCCTCGTGAAGCCGTGCAAGGGGGATGCATGTACGTGTGTACATTTTGCACACTGTGGCGCACGCTCCCTTCTCATGCCTGTCCGGCTCCAACATCCTCTTTGTCTTTCTCATTGTCTCCGTGTGTTCGCGCGTTAATCGCAGATTAAACGAGAAAGGGAGAGGAGAAGGTGGACGAGGGAACTATGGGCGAAAAGAAGACAACGGAAAGGGGTGGAATCAGGGTCGGATTTCCCGTTAGTACTTGTCGTGGTGACGTTAGTGCAGAGTTTATCTTATGGCTCTAGAGAAGATCTTCCGAAAAATATACAAAATGTGGAAAAGAGCGAGGGCGTATGAAATTTTTATTCAAATATTGAACCAATAACATGTATAATTGTATACGTAAGTAATAAGTAGCAATGTTAATAGTGACGTAAAACAAGTCGTGATCAATAACGTGAAATAAAGTACTGTATTGCTATATATCGAAACTGCAAATGGGCGATATTAAAAAAAAAAGACATTAAGCTGTCGATATCAAAAGCATATTCCTAAATATACGCTTTTCGTTTATATTAGACATTTAAAAATTTAACATTCTATACGCCATTTGAAGTTGCATATCCATATATCCATATTATTAGAAGTTACTTTGTCCATAGATCCATATTTTTTTAATTTCAATAATTTAATCAATATTTTCCATTCATCGATTGTACAATATTTTTCTTTAAATTTCTGTTATAGAGAATTAAAGACTTCAAAAGTTAAGACGTTTCAATTTCTCGAAAATACTTAATTTCTATATATATTTTATAGACACGCTTTAAGCTGCTCACTCTACGTATTCTCCTGTTTATCTTAATCACCGAAATAAGCTTATTAAGATCTTAGAGAAACCCTGGCTTTCTTCAGTACTTGTTCGGACAGGATATGACGACCCTTTCCGATCTCGATGTCTTTTTTTCGCTTGAAGGGTCTCCGCCGCGCGCCGTACGGACTCACAGTCGGTGTCAGGTCGATAGTTTTCCACGCTCTCCGTCGTTGCAATTTTTGCCTGTGCGCTCGACGTACGGCACCCGTTCGCACCGGTAAGACTGGTTATATCCATGAAGAGTGGCTGCTCGATGAAAGGATCCTCTCGGCGGCTCTTTACGGCCAGGTTCAATCGATCGTTCCCTTAACGCGCGTCGCCTCAGACGTGTCGTGTAAAAATGCAACCATTATTTCATATATATACAGCACTTTATTTCACGCCATCGATCACGACTTGTTTTACGTCGTTATTAACATCGCTACTTATTACTGGCGTGCGCAATTATGACTCACACGTACAATTATTTACTTAAGAAAATTATTGATTCAATTATTTAAAATAAAACTATGCATCTATAGGAAATATTTGAGAGAGTGCAACTTTCGAGCGATTAAATAACATTGATTTCCTTACAATATCTGTATTCGTATAATTTATAACACTACAACATAACGAAATTTATTTTATATAATAATGTGGAGAAGGAAACTATCTAGACTTTTACAAAACCAACATGAACAGGCTTGAGAAAGATCATCGCGATAAGAGTACGTGAAACTAACATAATAACTGCAACGATGTTAACTATTAATTAGAATTTATTTTACATCGTCATCGTTACATATTGTTACACTGAGAAAGATTTCTGGTTGAAAATGAGCGAACCAGAAAATTCTGATATCAATCAGAATTTTGGTTGTCCCAACTAGAATTGTTATAGATTTAATCAGAAAATTCTATTTGTCCCATTTACCAGAATTCCAATTAGTGCAGACTTTTTCCCAGTATATTATCATTGAACACATCGATTCTAGTTTCTACTAAGAATTATTATTATAATTAATATTAAAAAATGGAAAGTATATGACTTCAAAGAGGAAAAGATTGAGCAGATCGCGTGATTGTAATGGCCACGCGATGTTATAGGCTTGTTTTTTTTAACTGAATTTCTTGCACTATTCATCTCTCTCTCTCTCTCTCTCTTTCTCTCTTTCCTCTTTTTTCCAATGTGAAAAAAAGGAAATATAAACCGAGCAAGAAATTCAGCTAAAAAGAACAGACCTATTGACTATCTTTCATTATTGAATTTATAAATTCATCAGTTAAATTATCAGGGTTGGCAAGTAACGCGTTACTTTGTTGATCGTTACCTTGTTATAATAATGATTTGGTAATGACATTGTAAATTTTTTATGATGGTAATACTAACATCAGAATTAGAAAAGTCAATCGTTACTTGTAATGGATTGAGAAAGTCATTCGTTACTGAAAACAATAATTCCTAATTTGTAATTTGCGTTATTTTTTAGTAACGAGTAACGTTACGTGTAACGTTACATGTTACTTGTTATACTTATAACTATTTCAGTGTAACACGTAATAGTGACAAATTACTTTTCAAAGTGACTTTTCTAACCTTAGTACAATCTTAGCGTTTAATTAGTTAGCGTTACCGTCATAAAAAATTGCAACATCGTCATCAAATTGTTTACTAATAAATATAAATAAAAAGTAACGACGAAGTAACTGAAAAGTAACGTTTGCCAACTCTGTAAATTATATCCAATTTGACTGATTTTGAACCATTTCTATGGGGCATCTCTCTCTCTCTCTCTCTCTCTCTCTCTCTCTCTCTCTCTCTGCTCTTCCTCAATATGTCACTAATTAAACTAAAACAATGAAGTTAAACAATTTAATTTAAGAAACTGTATTAAATTTAACTAAAAAAAATTTGATCATTATTAAGCATATGTGTATAGACATTGTTTTACGTTGAAACTAACTACAGAATGGATTGATTTATATTTTGACATACGTGGAAGTTAAAAATAACAAAATGTTATTTGACAGGGGATTGGGTTAGCATTGCTTCTTTGATATCTAACAGTATTGCAATATCTGTATTCGATGATGTCACCGGTGCTTTCTATCGAGGAAGTCACGGGTTCTCCGCGGTCGTCGCAGGGTCGGTCGGAGGTGGCGGTGCAACAGCTGGCCCTATATACAAGGGCGTGGCCACGTTTATCCGAAATAATCGCGCGCATCGACGACAGAGCAAAGCGAGTAAGACGAGCGTAATAAAGTAGCCAAAGAAGTGCGGCCATCGTATACTAATTACCGCGAAAGTATCGAACCGCTAATCGCAGAACGCGCGCGCGAGCGTACGAGCGAGCGAGCGAGTCATTGACCTTCGCTTCTGGCGAAGAGTTTCGTTCGTGCGTTCCGGCCCGCATCCTTTATGTCTCCGCAGGTAGGTGCGCAAGTGGCCGCAAGAATGTGCTTTCGTTCGAGGCCCCTGAGTGCTTCATTTTTCTTACGTGGACGTCAAGTAGCGTCAACGACGCGTGATATTATCCTCGTCGTCGGTTTATGACTACCGAGCGTTATCCGGATAAGAGATTGCCCGCGAATACGAATGAGAAACGCTCCATATATTTGCCCGTTTTTTAAAAAAAAAAAAAAAAGAGGAAACATATAATTACCGTGCTGGCAATTTTAAGAGATAAAATTCTCGATTCTTTTAGGTAAATCCCGAAGTAGAAAGGATTCGAAGGATTAAATGATAAAACTCGCGACGTGTTGTTTTTCCGCACATTTTTCTTATCTTCACTCTACACTCCTTGCTGTGTTTGCTATCTTCTCTTTTGCCTTTATTTTTATTACGCTATTCTCTTGGAATGGCATTGTACAAGTCGTGCAACTCTGTGACATGCTACATTTGTTCGACGTTTGCATTCTTTAGCTTATTAGTGAAATAAGAAAACACGCTATTTAGTGTATACGCGTTACATTTATTAGATTCGTGCCGAAGCCTTTGCAGAAAAAATTAAATCGCCACAAAATTGAATTTTGTACTTAGCCGGCTTCTGTGGCGTCCAGCAAAACTGACTACTCCGTTATTCCTCCATAAGTCACGTGCAAATCGTGATATATATACTTCTACACGTAGCACATGTTTGCAACACTAAATTTAATGTTAACTTGCTAGATATTATTTTCAAACATTTTCTCTCTATAACATAGAAAGTAGAAATGTTCCGTATGTTTTATCTATCGATTTTTTTTATAGAATCGTATATCACGTATATAATTATATTCTTCTATTCTTATATTTTTACATTTTTAAATTGCTACTTAGATTTACGATATCCTGGCAGTAAAATATCAGTTCTATAATTCGACGTGTAACATTATTTTTCTTTGTATCCTCGAGGGAAATGATTGGATTGTTTTAACTTTTGTTTGTCGATACGTTTTATGGTGTTGATTAGACAATACCAAACTTCTTTATATGCCAAAAATTAATTTTTAGTCATCACTTAAATTACAGATTAACCTGACATCGCGTCGCAATTTTGCTATGTACGTTTTGAAACAGTGCAGCAAATTATCGGATTAATTACTATGCACGCGATTCTATTAAATGGAACATCCCTGCGATAAGTTTATGCGAGAGCATTTCATAGCCGACGACCATAATTCCATAGTGACCGCGTGTACCGCAGCCGATCTCGACGATCTAATTTTCTCACGTTGTGCGTTGACTGCAATCAGCAGCAGCCGGAGCTATCGCACGGCATTTAATTATCGCGCAATCATATTGTCATCGGCCTGTAATATCTATATGAAACATTACGTAGCTCGTACATTGGTACTAATGCGCCATTGTAACGTGAATCGAATCATTTACTTTAAAAGGAAAAATTGCGCCCTGCTACAATAACCCGACATATCTCACCTCGGAATTCTCCGTTATAATTCATTATCTCTGTGCCCTTTTCTCCTACACTATCATTCCATTTATAATACTCATGTCGACCTTTCTTTTTCTTTATAGGGAAGAACCTGTACAATAATGAGCACGTAGCAATTAAAATGGTGAGTAAGAACCGAGCGTTTTATGTAATTGCGATACGTAAAAAAACTCGGCGCACTTCCGCTGTCGACCTCACTTGTTACGCTTGCTGTCGCAGGAACCAATGAAGTCAAAGGCGCCACAGCTACATTTAGAATATAGGTTTTACAAATTATTAGGTACACATGGTGAGTATCACTTTTACGTTGTTACATTCAAGACTCCGCGTGATAAGATTGAAGACGTGAATTTACAGATACAAGTAAAGCGAAATTAGAGAATGTATTGAGCAAAAAAAATTGAAGAGAAAGGAAATATAAAATATTCGCGTTAAAATATAAAAAGACGTTTTATAAAGAGTGGCGGAGAAGTAGAAGGTAGTTTATTAATTCTATGACGCCTATAAGATAAATCAATAACTCTCAAATAAACGTTCTCGGTACTTCAGAGTGCCGTTAATCTTTCGCCGATGACGCTGCGAGAAAATAGTCCAGTAGTTCGAACCTTTGCATAATTTGACGCAATACGACATGCGAGATATATAATTTATTTCAATTTTCATACGATCTAAATTAGCTAAATCTCATGTGAACAATCGCACGTGTAATTTCTATACGCTTGACTAGCTCGACATAAATTAGCATCGGGAATTGAGATTGTATCGGAAATGTACACTTCATATGTCATACTCGAAGAAACAAACGTATTACGTTTTTCATATATATAGATATAAGCTGTTTTGCATTATTTTGTAACGGCTAATTCTTCAGCCAATTTTCAGTCAATTTTTTTAGAAACGTTGAGGTCATTATTTGTCGCGACTTTATAATTTTCACTATACATAGCGAATATTGAGCAACAGTAGCCATGCATTGACAATTCTCGCGTCATTTTTGTACTATTTTAGTCATTATCTATCTCTTAATTATTCCCATTGGGAAAAATACTTAATTATTTATTTAAGGACTCATTATATAATATCGAAGCTTAAAACATTAAGTTATATTCCATTGGGAGTTGTACTTATTTTACAAAGTCATGAAAAAATATTCGTAAAATATCACAGTTCAGTATATGTAAAATTTTTTCATACAAGTTTTGTTCCTTATAGTTTTTCTTTCTCGTTTTGCGTTGCAAAACTCATATCCACGTTAAATGAGGAATTAACCAGAAAATTTCCAATATTATTGTTAACTAAGTTTTTACTGAAAATGTCGTTCATAGAATTATATCTGCCTGTTCTACAGCCATAATACTGCTCTTATTTCGTTTTACGCGTTTCATTATAATTTCGCGCATACACTGGGGGTGATCTGGGGTGTGATCTGCTTTTGTCGATCGGTATAGTTCATAACACACATATAGAGGGTATACCGGAGGTGTACTACTTCGGCCCATGCGGGAAGTATAATGCCCTGGTGATGGAGCTCCTCGGTCCAAGCCTCGAGGACCTCTTCGACCTCTGCGGGAGGAGGTTTACCCTCAAGACCGTTCTCAACATTGCCACACAGCTCGTAAGTCGCATTACTGTAACACTTTCGTCCACAGAACTAACTCTCAAACAACCGCACGTTGCTCGATTTCAAACACCAGACTATTTGACATCTGGCAAGCCCCACGAACATCAACGTTCGTTATTTCTCCTCAGGCCGTTCTTTTTATCATCAGAACGACTTGTTTGAAATTATACTATTTCAATTAAATAGAAAATTAAAATAAAAAATTGTTGTAAATTCTATGCACCGCGAGAATAAAAATCCATAATTTTGTTTGGTAGAATAAAATATACAAAATGTGTGTTTTTTTTTTCAACAGCTCCATAGGATAGAATACGTTCATAGTCGGCATTTGATATACCGCGACATCAAGCCGGAAAATTTTCTGATAGGACGATCCACTACCAAGCGGGAAAAAATTATTCACATAATCGATTTTGGACTAGCCAAAGAGTATATAGACCTGGAGACGAACAAGCATATACCGTATCGGGAACACAAGAGTCTCACCGGCACGGCGCGTTACATGAGCATTAACACGCATCTTGGCAAAGGTAACGGGCGTTTACTTTTGTTTCGTCGTATGTGTGCGTATATGCGTGAGTGTGTGTGTCCGTTGCGCTGCATAAACCGCCACGTGCTAAGCCATCTCCTAGCTGGGAGAAAGCGCGACGAGTGCTTTAATCTTCAGCAAGTACCGTGAGAGGTCTCTCTCTCTCTCTCTCTCTCTCTCTCTCTCTCTCTCTCTCTCTCTCTCTCTTTCAGACTTCAAGTAACATAAATTATAATTATTTAAATTTAAATAATCTTTCATACACAACACAACAACACAAATGTGGAATTACATAAATAACTGTGGCATAAGGCCGAAGATTTAACAGAACTTTACGGTACCTGCTGTGAAGATCAAGCCATCGCGAATATATTACTTTTATAATGTGCTTGGTGGAATTTTTTTCTAAAATTCTATTGTATATCTTCTAATATGTGTCGTGAGCAATGAAATTTTCTACTATATAAATAATGTTGAAAGCTATGTGAAGTATATACTAAAGATATGTTTTACTATAAACAGAACAGAGCAGAAGAGACGACCTGGAGGCATTGGGTCATATGTTCATGTACTTCTTGCGTGGCAGCCTGCCGTGGCAAGGGCTGAAGGCCGACACACTGAAGGAGCGCTATCAAAAGATTGGCGATACGAAACGAGCGACGCCGATCGAGGTGCTCTGTGACGGCCATCCCGAGGAGATGGCCACGTATCTGCGCTACGTACGCAGGCTGGACTTCTTCGAGACGCCGGACTACGAGTATTTGAGGAAGCTCTTCCACGATCTGTATGAGAGACGTGGCTTTGTCAATGACGGCGAATTTGATTGGACCGGCAAGACGATGGTGCGTATTTGAATGATCGATTTTTGTCCCTATTTATTCACGTTATGCAAAAAGCTTTTGCAAAAGCTTTGGTGAATGTCACGCTCGGCACATTATTTTTTATCCGACAATTCACGAAAACAGTGACGTATATTTGCATGTTAACTTGTTTGTTATATTGAAAAATGTCGGTGATAACAGCCGGCTCTAACAAGAGAAAATGAATCGACAACTGAAGCGTGATCTTGCATTGACGTAATCTATAAATATATCTTTTTCTGTCCAATAACGAAAAAAGGATTTTATCAACTGCGTCATTTATTTATGATTTTATATCTCTTACATAATCAGAAAATCTTTACGAAGTATTTTTCATGAAAATGTTATGCTGATCTTTGAAATGTAAATACTGTAAAAATGATAGCAATAATATTTACAAATGATTCGACATACAAAGATCGATTCTTTTCGATTGTTTCTTTTTTTTCGGTAAAGAGTTTTCCCTGCTTCCAGATGATTTCTATTTTCTAAATTGAAATTTTTTATTGTAATTTTTTTGTCATAATTTTCTAAATAATAACTTGTCGGAGTAAGACTCTTGACAATTGGGTAAGTAAATCACCTGCCTATACCAACAGACCCGCAACATAGAGCTATACAATACCGAAGAGCAGTTTCACATTTGATTTTTAACGTTTGCATGCTGCCTTCTCTCTCAATGCACTATCTCTAGCCATCCGACTTCGAGAATCTGAGAGTACTGCGGATGGCGGCCCCTTCGCATATCGGCAAAACTAAGTCCGACAAGGTTGGTGGTGGCTTACGAGTAGTGACGATATCTTAGATAACTGCGACCGAGTTAATTGAGTTTCGATATCTTTGCAAATTGCAATATAATAATCGCATATCTGTAATTCTTAAATGTAATAAAATACCGCTGCATTGTTACAATATTTTAGCCAGAGATCCTCACAAAGAGATTGAATACCATAAGTTTGGTCCATTTTATTTTTCAGGATCTGCTTAAGATAGAATCAGATAGATTATGCATGAAATAGAATTAGATAAATTACGCATGAGATAGAATGAGATATCCACTTATTCTATCTTATGCATCTATCTCATTCTATCTTAAGCAGGTCCTGAAAAATATGGATCAATCAGAAATTATCTAAACGGTATTCAGTCTCTTATTTGAGGATGTCTAATTCTAACTAATCGTTACCACGGCCAATTGGCCTTACGTATACAGGGATCTAAACGTGATTGTGATGTCATAGGTCTTCTATTAAGCGTAAATTAAAGTGCACAGTCCGTCAATAACTCTGTCTGTCTATCCGCTTTCCAGCTCCAAGTATGTTATCTATATACCTCGTGAAATACGTAGAAGCGCGCGATAATGGCGCTCGTTACAAACTTTCATTCATTATATATGTATATCAAGCAAATGTTTTCTCTCTCATTACAGTCCACGCCCGTCGGATCCCTTCAAACCGGCCAGGAGATCGTCGTATCACCAAATCGCGATCGGCATCCTGCCGCTTACAAGGTATTTCTTGTTTTCTTCTGTTTTTTCTACCTTTTCTTTTCTTCTCTCTAAGCCAAAAGCATGGACGTGTGTAGCCCATTTGTTATTCGAGTTAACCGCATGGATACACGCCTCAGTAGCGAAAGAATCGAAAACAGAGTTTTAACAACGACCTTGATTCAGAATTCTTGTTTATCTCATGATAAAGATATAGATCAAACGAACAAATTTTTCGAAGGTATCGACGCGCCGGTATTAATTTATCATTAAATACAGAAAATGACGTATGCTGGTTTCGCCAAGCATGTAATTCAACGCGAATATGATGGTATCAATTTGTAGGAGTACGATGATTTTGAGGAGGATGTAATCCTCATGATGGATGAGGTTCGCTTCGAATTGCAAGGCCGATATGTAAGCCAACTTTAGGTTACGCTCGATGAATCGACTTCTTCATGCATTCTTTATCTTATCAGCAACGAGATGAGTGTATAGTCGGAAAGATACCCGCGGTCACATTTTATAATGCGTGTTGTTAATGTTTTTCTGATCATAAAACAAGGTCGCGTGAGGTTTAATCGTGGAGCGTGAACTCTGCGAACTTGCGTCTTTAAGATCAATAGTCGATTAACAGACTGATAGCGGCAATAAATTTTCTTTCGCGCAGTATTATTAAAGTGACTAAATATAGATGATGGACCGTGGCGAAGTCGTGTACATGCGAGACAATACGTTCAGTCGTAGATACGTTCAGAAACCTGCGATAGCGATAAACTCATGCATGAAGAAATAATTTCGCCGTGGTTGCTTAAGTAGCTCATCGGTTTGTAATAAGCTAGAGCCAGGAAATTTGTTGCATTTTTCCTCATAGTTCATTCGAATGAAACGTGTAAAAATATTTAACGCGTAGATAATTATGTACATCTCGTTTATCATTAGGGAGCGAACCGCATTTTCATCCCCCTAATATAGAGATTAATCTTATTAATGCGCGTTTATCATCATAGATCGCCATGCTATATACCCTAAAAGATTTCCTTTCCGGATCTTTCCTCAACATCTTTTTTTTTCTACTGTCCTTCACATTTATTCGCGGACATTGTTTAACGCGATGCAACTGCGAAATTGTCATGCTTGTTCCTTCAGGATGTGATCAGGAGCCGGTGGTACATTGACACCTGCTGACAGGCATGGTTCTGTACAGGTGAGTTTACCTGCGCATCTTCCTCTCTCGTGCCATTTTCTCGACTTCCCAGAAGCTTCTCCCTTTTTTTTCGACTTTTTTTGCATCTTCTCGTTTATTTTCTACCGATTAACTTGTAATCCCGCGGTGGAAACGCTACTTTTTTTAGCGATGCGACATTGAAACTTTAAATCTACATTAAACGTATAATCTCGTACATTTTTTCTCCGCGTAAAACTTAAAAATTATATAGATCTCGCGTATATGGAAAGATCGATTAAGAAATTATTCATTGTTCTTCCCTAACTATCATCTTTCTCGTTTCTCACTCTCATAACGTCGACGTATACGGGATGTCTCAATTTATCAGGAGTAAACTGTTCGCTCTATTTCTAGACAAAGCACTACTGGATTATGGTCAGTTAGAAGTCTGTGCAATTTGACTTGTTGCGGCATGTTGTCTTTGTGTCGATTGTGATCGAGACTTACCTTCTTTCTTTGATTGGATATGAAATACTAATCCGGTATTAGTACGTTCACTTGTCTTCCCATGCACTTGCAATAACAAAAGTATCATCATCACGTACGAATCGTATGACTTTTAAGGAAGATCAGAGTTTATTATTTATGCTTCTTTTTATTTCTTTAGTATATTGCTTTATTAAATCTATGTATCAGTAGTAGTTTTGTCTTATATAAAATTTTCACTTCCCTTCCCCTTTTGTCACGTAAGATCCTACTTGGTTCTTTATGTAATTTGCAAGTAGATTTTGAACAAATCGGTTTTCAGTGTATATATTACTTTAAATCCAATTAGAATGCAAAAAGTATTCTTTTCAAACTTTCATATCCAGTATCCAAAACAATCAAATCTATATAGTTACATAAAAATCCCTTGATGTAAAACGTGTATGTTTTCTTATCAATCTTTCTTATCAATAACATTATACGATGTATACAGGTGGTATCTTCAACTAATGGAGAACTAGCTAACGATGACCCGACTGCTGGTCACTCCAACACACCAATCACAGCACCTCAGGAAGTGGACATGATCGACGAAACCAAGTTAGTAGCAGTTTGTTTTATTGTATTTCTTTATTTTTCTCTGTACTTCCGCGAGTGTTTTCTTGCATTTCATTATTGTATTTATACGTGCAGTATTCTGAAATTTTATTAGTAAAATTTACTTGAGAGAAAGTCTTAATATAATCTTCGACTGTTAAAGTCAGAATAAAAATAATAGTAGCTTATCTCAATTGGATCTTAAAGATATAAAAGATTAAATTAAATTAGATGAGCGAACTAAGCTTTGCATGTGTGTGTATATGTTATTTTCAGAAAAGTAATTCAACTAAAACGGAAACATTGTCCTCGATGTGGAAAGTTATTGTTCCGATCTTTACAAGCATATATTTCCAGCACTTATCCTACCCTCATTCCCGAACTAGGTTTGTTACACCAATTAAGATGGTCAGTTCAAGATTTTTTTTTTCGCAACATAAGAAGAAAGTACAAAGATATTTGTTAAATGTTATTAAAGCTTGATTGTCATAGAAATTTTATTTCTAAACTGATAATGATAAGAAAATAAGTGCTACGAATAAAATATAAAATTATAATGAGGTGAATGTATTTGTGATAATACTTTTATCTTAGAACAAAAATATTACAGTAATGTAGTATTCAAGTTTCGCTATTCTCACAATACAAATTATGTTTACAATATATATAAGATATAGGGGCAAGATTTGATTTGATAATTTAGAGATAATTATTTGTCGTTATCGTAAAACAAAATTAATGTTTCTTTGTATTACATTTAAATATTTTTATTATATTATCTTATACGAAGAAACTTGATTGTTACACATCGTTAATGCCAAACAGCATAGATAATCAGAGAGAAAGAATTTTATTAATTTATTTATGTATAATTTAAACAATTTGATTTAAGCAAGTCGCACGCCCCGTTTTCTCAATTATTGTACTATCAATATCAAAATGATGTATTTTTTCTATTTGGTGCAACTATAATTAAATGTCTGTATTTTTTTGTTTGCGTATTCTCTACTCTTTTCTGATGTTCCCATCCCTTTCCTTATTATTCTTCTAGAAATTTTAATAAAATCAAATTAACAACTGCATGATTAATTAACAAATAACTTTATATTTACATGCAATCAGATAATCTTTTCTGGTATCTTATTGGGAGATTGACAAATTTCTTTCTCTCTTGTGTTGCGCGATCATATGCCGAATGTATTAATTATTTTCTCTCTGCTGCATGCTCGATGTGTTGATCGACGAAAGACACTGCCAAGGAGACGACTCTAAGTCCTATTAGTGTTTGCTTCATTTCCAGATGCTGTTGCTTCTTCAAGCGCAAGAAGAAGAAAAGTGGAAGGCAGAAATGACTGTCCGTTACGGTTGGTCTCGGGGGGGCGGTGCAGTGCGGGGGTAATAGTGCCGACGAGACCGTGGAAGTCGTCGCCACAACGTCAAGGACTGGCAAACGCGGCGCGGGAACGGGAATACGTGCAGGCGCGGGTACAGCAGGTGGTATCGCAGGCGGCGCCGATCCTGAGAGAGAAGCCGTCACTCTGCTGCGCGTTGGTAGCCGATCCGCGTCACGGGACTCGGTGCTACACACTACCGTCACGATGACGCCGACGCCGACGCCGCCGCCACTGTCGAACTGAATCATCATCGTCATCAACACCATCACACGACCATTCTATTACGTCGCCGCTATTATTATTAATTGGACGGTTGCGCGACTGAGTCGAGATCGAGAGAATGAAGCTGCTTTTCCTCTGGCCAATCGAGCTGATCTCTTCGATAAATAAGCGGACTCGCTGACGACGATTCAGGCACTCGCTCCTTGGTGTAATGAAATTCTGTAGTAATCTCAGTATCGTTGCGATCAGAATTGTCTTGATTATGTGTTACGGTGAAAGTATGGTCAATTATCGGCTTTACTTAAAACTCTATTCAGAGAACTTGATACATTGATGCCGGACTTTCATTGAACTTTATCAGGAGACGTTAGAAATTTCTTTTCTCTCATCTCATTTTTAAAATAGAGTACATCTGGACAGATGGAAAATGGCTAATAAGGATATATTCTGTCGGAGATAAGGACTATATGTCTTTCTCGGTGAAAATTTAATTAATTTGATCTTTAAGTTAAGCGCAGAAATTCAATCAGACATTCAGGATATATTTATTGTAATTATATTTTCAAGGTAGATAATGATGTGATGAGCAGCATGAAAATTTAGTGCAACATAAAATGAGATTTTGGCATGTTTTCGCATGTTTATTCGACGAGACGTGATTTTCTCGTCTCCATGATTGATAAACTCAATTATTCGATAATTAAATTCCCACGTCACTAAGTCCAATCAATTTCTAGCCACTGGTATCCATCTTTTTAGATGTGCCTCGTATGCATCTTGTAGTTTCATTTAATTCACACCCTTCCCTTGTTCTCACAAACGGCCTGATGAATATTCTTTGTGGCCTTGAGCTACTGATAGAAGTTAAGACGTTAGCGAATCCACTTACCTACTTACTGAATAAATCCTCTCGTTTAGCCAAGAAAAGTGACCTCGTGCTATTAGATTATTGCTACTATTGTCATGATTACATTTCATCTTGTTGCTGCCCACTACCCACTACTATTACTATTTACTACTGCTACCATTATTACTACTAAGTACTACGATTACTATTATTATAATGATTATTTTTCATTATTTTATTTTATTTCATTATTATTATTGATATTATTATTATGTTGATCATCTTTATCATCACTATCATCATCGTTGGTCATGATCGCCATTTCCATTGTCACCATTGTCCACATCCGCGTTTATCAATTACGTTGTTATCAATGTCATCAATATATTGACACGTCGCTGTTGACTGAGAACGGTCGTCGGCCGTGACGGCGGCCATGACGTTTCAGTATCGGGAAACCAACTGAATCACATTCGCATTACATAGGAGTAAGAAGGAATTGACGTACCGATGTTGAGAGAACTTGTTTGTGCCTACGACTCTCTTCTTGAAACACGGGGACGCTTTTTAATACACCGCCGCGTTGTGCGATGGATACACGTTGGCGACTCGTCGTACGATCGCATGTATAACTGTGAATTATAACGAATTGAACCTACCGCAGATCTCATTGTATTCACAGCCCTGCAGGATAAGCGAGCATAGCGTGTTCCCGAATTTGTTGTAATCGTGATTTCGATTGTCACGAAATCCGATTATAATCTTGAAAGGCATGAAACTGAAAAGGAATAAGAAAACGACGATCATACGTATACTGGCCCGCAGGGATGGGATTGAGAGAGACGTCGGATATATCTGTAAATAAGTGCTCTCATTTTGCCCTCGTCGAGTCCACAAATTATAAATCATGCGCGTTATGAATCGTGAGAACATATAGTGCTATGTATAAAGTGAAGAAAGTTCGCGCTCTCCTGATTTTATTAGATACTTTTTTTATTTCGATTTTTCTTTTAATCCACCGTCCAAGTGATACAGAATGATTCTAATGCATTGAAATATTTATATTAGGATATATGTAGTATATGCAAGCCTTCCGTATAGTAAACAATTTTTATATAACTTTAATTTTGAGTTATATATTGTAGATGTGAAAGAGCAGCATTAGCATTAGCATTAGCGTTATTAATAAGCGCTATCGAAATAATACTGAATCGTATCCATATAAAAATCCATACTAAAGTCTAAACTGTCCCAATACGTTAATATTGTCAAAATAATTTCTTTGATATGTGTACACTGCCTATTTTTTCTACACGGGAATCATGAATGCACGATAGTTCTATCATTACTATATGAATCGTAATTAATATACATTAAGGAACATTTTGCTACGAGTTTCTCGAAACGCGAAATGTCTTTTTGTGAATAACTCGATACGATCATGATGTCGTTCGCGTATTATTTATGATAATTTCCCATCCGCCCGCGTACACCTGTAATTTTTAAATAACGGTGACGTAAATCGCACAGAAATTCGTACAGTTTCCGTGCTACATTTTCCAAAGCAATATCATAGGATTCGGTTTCATGCCTTCCAAAATGAAATTATCATGTGAGAAAGTGATCTATCGCGATGAACAGTTGAAACAATTACATTTTACATAACATATCGATGAAGTAAGGTTTTTTCTGTCTGTAGACTCTATAGCGTATATAATGAAAATTTAGTAACGCGTAAATGCGAGGAAATTATGTGACATAGCCGAAATTATATGACATTGCAGTCAAATTCGTGTTCCACCACCAGTGTGTATCGATTAAAAAAAAGGAAAAAGAAAGAAAAAAAAAACGATAAAAAAAAGCGTTTCTTTCGATATGAATTATCTCCTCTGCGAAAAGAGTGACAGCTCTTGTTTCTTGATCCATGCGCGTTTTTGATTATTAAAAAGGACATTAACGAACAAATGAGAGAAAGGAAAGAATCAACGGTGTGTCCACGCCTGATTCTATTTCGATGTTCTTGATACAAAAACCTACGTCATTGCAATTAATAATAAAAACTAGAACCGAACGTACGTAATTTTCGAGACAAATTGATCTAAATACGAAACGGAAGAGATGAATCATCGAGTACGGTGTACATGCAATAACATAAAAATTCACTTTGTAACGAACTCTCTCTGCTGCAAACATATTTAATCCACTATTTTTCATGATGAGGAGAGCCTTACCGTCGCGAGGCATTTCTAGGGATTAACACGAAGTGACACGTGCGATTTTCTGCTAATGGCTCGCGACGAAACGTTTAAACGACCAAGAGACAAATCAGAAAATATATACGAAAACCTGGGGAACACAGAGAGCAAGGATCTCATCAGTCATATTAATTAAACAAGTAAGAATAATTGATTATGATTATTTATTAACAATTATTTGCTCACTTAAATTCAACTTTGAATAAAACTTTCTCGCTTTAAATTTCACAGATTTGTAATGTTTCTTAAAATATAGGTATATTAGAATCAATATTGAAAAATTCAAAAAAGATTAGCAAACTTATTATCTGATATTAAGAAGAAATTGGAAATTTAAGCATGATTTTTTAAACATTCGCAGAAGTTTCCACGAAATGTTAACAACCCATTCCTTCCGTTTTCAGAATTTCCCAGAAAGAACATTTCCCGTTAGATTCGTATTACTTGTTCGCTCAAAGATATAGTTAAACTCAAGTCTGTTTCTTTTTGCAGGAACACGGTAAACGGTAGTGGTCGAGTGAGGAGTAGAGGCGCGGAGGTGGCGAATGTGAAGAAACATGTGTTACGTGAGTTACGTCCAATGGTCCACACCTACACGCTAGTCTGGCCGATGACTTCGTACCGCTCCCAAGATGTATTACGTACTATGTAACACGCCTGTACACCACGTTGTATCCACGTTGAATACCTTAAGTACTTCTCGGCAAGCGCGTCCGACAACAGGAAACCCATGTACTTACGGAACTATCGCATACTTGTACCGTAGTGTATACTCGACACCGTGCGTGCTATCGTACGATAAAAGGCAAACGAGAGACGGAAGAGAGGGAGGGAATCACTCCGTCGAACATCTTGAAAAGTAATACGCTTAAAAACATAGAGATCATAAGCTTACTCTATGAATTTCATCTTTCTCTCTCTCTCCCTCTCTTTTTCTCCCTCTCATTAACTGTATCTTCCTAATGTCGACACACCGCGAGAGCATCGTTCCTTTCTTTTGTAAGCTTGAAACGCAATTGACGAGCGACCGTCGAAACAATCAGTCGTTCTACATTTATATCAGCGGACGCAGAAAGTGAATGAGTGATCCGATGAATGCCTGACACTGGATGATACCCGCGTGCGTGGAAAGAGAACGAATCGTTGAGAAGAGACGTTACTCCGGGACGCTTTTCTCCCGGCGCAGCTTCGCGCGAATCGTATCCGCCGTATTCCCGTACTTGTACATAAGACGCTAGACCGTAATTGTTGCGTACGCGGATCACATGTGCTTATCGCGAATCGTCCTTGCGAATAAAATTTATTCGCGCGATAAATCCAATAGCGAGCGGCACGTACGATTGTAATTTTTGATCAGATGCAGATTTCTGATCAGATGAGAGCACGTGCGTGCGTGCGTGCGTGCGTGCGTGAGAGGTCCATGTAGGCGCAACATAGATAAAAAAAAGAGAGAAAGTCTCCGATATTTATATCACTGTCCTGCCACCGGAGAATCCGTGTTGGCGTAATTATAATAAATCCCGCTGTGCAACCACGTTGCGTAAAGGACGTTTAGCCCGTAGTTTTCTAGCTGATTTTTCAAAGCGCGCGCGCGCGCGCAAAGTCACGATTTTTAATATAACACGACTGACTGCTGGTTAAGTATGGTTGTGAGCAAAACCTGGTCTCCTCGGATATTGTAGACATACACACGCGCATACACACGCAATTTACACGACATACATACACAAAACTTACACATTTTTTCCAATTCCCCTAGATACGTACTTTGCACGGAGAGAAGAGCGATTGTTGCATACATGCCTGGGATGGGAATTAAGACTTGTAATCCAAAATGAGAGAAAGACCATCTCCGCTCAAGAGATATTTTTCCTTTTCTTCTTTTTTTGTATATTTGTAAATTGGTACGAATAGAGAGATTGGGCCAGGATCGATATATCCTTGGTGTTTTTCATTCCATGGCTCATTGGTCGAAGAGCAGCATATATGTGGTCGTGCGTATCTGTGGAAAAAAATGAGGCTGCGTAATTAATTATCTTGTTGCGTAAAGCGTAACTTCGAGAGAAAGAGAGATTGGATGATCGTGTGTTTCCCCTCGTGTGTTGTGATCGTTTAATTGCATTAATACGTCGATTCGACGATATTGAAGAAATGTTAATGGGAGATTCCTGAGATTAATTTAATCAGCACTATAGTTTCTTCATAGTGAGGCTTATGTGTATACATTTTTTGACTTACTACTATATGTTCGTACTGTTTTAATGGACGAATTGTTGAACAATAAAATCGCTGATTGCTACGATAATAAGAAATCGCCGTTTTTATGAGATCGGCAGCTCACGCGTGTGGGTGTGCGAACACGTGTCTGTGTTCGATATTTTATTACAACGCGAGATTTACGAGACGCAATTGACATTATAATTAGACAAAGGAACAATCGTGCGTGTGGATTTGTGTCGTAAACTGTCGTTTCTGCAGACACGAGCAGAAAAAAAAGTTAAGGAAGAAAGATAAATTAACGTACGCGTAAAGCGTGCGTTTATTTCGATCTGTTTACATAGTAATACGTCATAGTAAAAATGCAATTTTTTATTACGATACTATACGAAACTAGACAGAGCATCCTTATCATCATAATTTTCTTACATACACAATTTCTTACATCATAATTTTATTACATAATTGATACACAGTGTGTCATTGAGAACAAATGTGTTCTTTATAAGAAAGTTAACGAGAACGAAACGACGATATTTGTATAGGTGCGGATTTGTTGAAATACTCTGCACATTCTGTAAAATGCGTTACTCCGCGATTTTTCGTCGAACAGTGTAAAAAATTGATCTGTATCCTAGATCCGTCAATATCATATTCTTTAACGAAATTCAACGCCGCTCCCTTCAAGTGGATTCGTTTTCTTTC